CTACAAAAAAACTTTTTACAACAGTTAAAAAATACTTTTTACATCGGTTCATGTAGCATTGTTGTTTCAGGGAATGTAGAAAGTACGAGACTTTTTACATCGGTTGTACAACCAATGTAAAAGGTAGACTTTCTACATCGGTTGTGGCCAGAACCGATGTAGAAATCCGCTTTCTACATCAATTCTTGCCAGAACTGCTGTAGAAGGTGGACTTTCTACATCGGTTCTGGCCACAACCGATGTAGAAAGTCCACCTTCTACACCGGTTCTATCTACAACCATTGTAGATAGCAATATTATTTTGAAAAAAAATAGGGTTGTTTTTCTAGGTTGTAAACCCTACAATTTAGAAAAACACTTCTAAAATAAATAGAAATAAAATTCAATAGCCATAAACTAAGAAAGAGTTATTTAATTTATTCAAATATATAACAATTTATATTCAACTTTCATTTATTTAAATCATAACAAAAGAATTGAAATTATAATTAAACAATATAAATAAAATTTTTGTATGCTAAATTAAAAGAACCTAAAATTTTTAGAAAATACAAGTGCACAAAAGCAAGGGGAACAAGCTCTTGACAGAAACTCCTTCTTTGCCTATATGGGCAAGTTGAACACACATACACACACCAAGTGTTGATAGTCTTCATTACCAAAATCTGGTAAGGCCTCAGCTTTTTTGTCCTATAGGTTTCATACCCTTATAGAAGAAAATGAAACTACTATTAACTATTGAAAACATTATAGGTACATATATACTACAAAAAAATCATATTATACATTTAATTTTAGCTTACATTGGACAGTTATCTTAGAATAGAAGGCCAAAATCATATACAAAAGGTGCTCAACACAACTAAAGAGACATTGGAAAGAACAAAGTGGTTAACTATAAATAAAAAATTTGAAGCAAACTACCAAGAACAACCAAGAATAGCCATTACTCAAGTAATTTGAATATGCAAACATAAAAGCTTATATTTATAAGTATTGAATATTTGACTATTTCTAATATTCCAACCATACGATACTTTTCAGACAGGGCAAGACTAGCTCAAAAGTACTGAAGAATGTCTTGTTTTCTTGCATTTGCAACCACTTCCTCCTATAATGGATACCTTGAACATGAAGAAGAAGAAAAATAATTAATATTAATAGATAGATAGATAAATAAAAATGAACCAAGTAAGTAGCACTTTGTTGAAGTTAACTTAACATTTTATGAGCAGAAAAATATATGTAAAGCCAACTTAAGGTGCAGAGCATGAATCCTTTTGCTCACCTCATTAAGACATGAAATCATTTAATTAAAAAAACAAGGAAAAGAAGATTTCTTAAACATGTAGTATTTATGCCATGAAACCAAAATAACATCATATATAGAAGGGCTATTAAATAATAATAAAAGAAAGTATGAAAATTATTAATAAGAAAATCACTATAGAAGCTAAAAACATGATTGTAGAAACAATACTATCACCATTTCCACCACAAGCAACCTAAAAATTGCACAAGTCAATATGCAAATCTATCATGATATATTGAACAACCAAAAATAGGGTAAGAGAAAGAATTAAGACCTTAGCATTGTCTATATAGTTGTTTGATTATATTTTTATTCTCATTTTATTTTGCTGAAGCTACTACAATCTTATATAAAATATAAATGAAAATAATTCAATCATGAACTTGGATGCACAGATTGAACAAGGTATTAACTTTTGCATATCCTTTAATTAGCAAATCCAACCAAAAGCAAATAAGTAATATCAAACAGGATCAAATTCATATTCAATGGCAACATATAAATAACTGAGAATGAGTAATATTCAAGCTAAGGGAACCCAAATTTGACAAGAATGACACCAATGAGATGCTACACGAGAGAGAGAAGGTGAGAGAAGAAGAAGAATGGTGGAAGCACCCAAAACAGAGGCTGTAATGTGAACAAAATAAATCTCATATCTGGAAACTAATCGACGATCCAACCGTTGAAAATGACGCATTAGATGTTCCAAACTATCTGACAAAATTTTAGCTTGATCCAACGGTTAACTAAACTGTAAAAGCAGATTTACTAAAACTGTCCTGTGAATATGCGAAAATAACTTTAGAGGAAGGAGGAGAAGGATTTGGAGAAAATGAATCTTGGATTTTAGGTATCTTGTTTAGGGAGAAGGGATGAGGAGGAGGAGGAGGAGGACGGCAACACAATATGGAGGCGAGGAGAGAAGAAGACAAGGAGGAAAATGATGCAAACACGTTCTGTGCGGGAACAATGATGAGAACTAAAACTTTAAATGACTTTTTACATCGGTTGCTAGGGTAACTGATGTAGATAATACTTTTTACATCGGTTACCACTAAAACTGATGTAAAAAGTATTTATTTTTTTAATATTTTTAAAAATTCAAAATACTTTTTATATCGGGTGATAGAGTGTCCGATGTAGAAAGTCTACTTTCTACATCGAGTAGAAAAGCACCCGATGTAAAAAGTGTGTATTTTTTTAATTTTTTAAAAAATTTAAAGTACTTTCTACATCGGGTAGAAAAGCACCTGATGTAAAAAGTGTGTATTTTTTTAATTTTTTAAAAAATTTAAAGTACTTTTTATATCGAGTGCTCTATCACCCGATATAAAAAGTATACTTTCTACATCGGGTAGAAAAGCACCCGATGTAAAAAGTGTGTATTTTTTTAATTTTTTAAAAAATTTAAAGTACTTTTTACATCGGGTGCTTTATCACCCAATGTAAAAAGTATACTTTCTACATCGGGTGCTTTTCTATCCAATGTAGAAAGTACTTTTTACATCGGGTGAAAAAGCACCTGATGTAAAAAGTCTAATAGTCATGGTTAATATTATAAAATTATCACCGCCTGGACTTTTTACATTGTTTGCCTTCCAACCGATATAAAAAGTCCCTTATAAAAGCCAAATTTTGTACTAGTGACGCAATAAAAAAAAGAGCCTACTTCCTTAATAAGTTTCATTTCATTTCATCCTATCATACTTGTTGGCCAACTTTCTCAGATTTATAAAATTAATTTCAATTGAAAAAGAGTGAAATTTGTTGAAAATTTAATGACAATGATAATTAAAACATTTATGATATGTTCACATGAAAACATTTTGTCAATTATAGCCAGTTCTTTTCCCATTTTCACATTTCCTATTGCATATTAGTATGGCCTTTGTGTGCAAGGGCATATGCTTAGAGTGCAAGGGAATAGGCTTAGAGTGTAGGGGGTTAGTTTGAAATACGATGCCAATGCTTTATTTCACAAAATGCATTATCATGAAAACATTTAGTTATCTTCTATATTACATTGTTGAATCCACATCATTTACAGGTTAATATAGTTTGCTATATAATGTATAATACTTAAAAAAGAGGGAACTTATTGTGAGTGTTCCCGATCTTTCACGATAACTAACAGAGAGCACGTCATTGTCAATGCGCTTAAATTTCATGGAAACAACCACTAATTCCACGTAAAAAAAATTATATGAAGAGCTTCGCGAACATGCTTGAGCAAAAGTTACATGTAATATTTATCAGATTCCATATGAAATGATCACATAAAGACCTAAACTAATAGAATTATTGTTGTTCCTTTCATATTTTTGTTGTTTATAGTCCCTATAAACATTTACTTGTTTTTCATTGAAAATTCAATTGTCATTCATGTGAAGTTGTTGAATCCTCGTCTGTTAGTGTGACAATTACATGTAATATCTTGTACATTTCATGTAAATCCAATACACAAAGAGCATACCATTGTCAGCGCCCCTATAATTACATGAAAATGACAATTGATTACAAGTAAATCAATATGAAAAAAATTGCGCATGCTTGAGGAATAATTTACATATAATTTTTAGCAGATTACATGTAAATCAAACACACAGAAATCATATCTTTGTTTATGTCCTAAAATTATATGAAAATGACTATGGATTACATGTAAATCAATATGTAAAGAAACTTGTGAGCATAACTGACAAATGATTTACATGTAATCTCTAGCACATTACATGTAAATCTCATTGCTATGACACAAGTTTTAACCCTTGTACTCTAAACCAAAAGCCTTGCACCCTAAGTCATAACATGTGCACCTTAAGCCAAAAAACCTTGCATTCTAAGCCATAACACGTGCACCTCAAACCAAAAACCTTACACCCCAAACCAGAAGCTTTGCATTCAAGTCAAAAGTCTTGCACTCAAATCATAATCTTTGCATCTCAAGACAAACTCCTTTCACCTTAAACCATGAATTTTGCACCTCAAGCCAAAAGCCTTGCGACCAAGCTAGGCCACTTTCACCCAAGTCAAACCCTTTGCACCCAAAGTCATACCCCTTGCATTCAAGTTAGAACCTTTGCACGCTAAGTTAAAATCCTTGCACTTTCTAGTTGTTGAGTTTTCATGTAATTCTTGATGATTACATGTAATTAAGAGGTGTTGATTTTTTTTTGTGACTCTTCACCTGCTGGCCAGAGATTTGGCAGGCTTGTTGGAGGAGGGGTCGGAGCTTCGATGCTTGATTTTGTGCCTTTTTTTAAAAAAATTAATTAACATAAATGGACATTTTGATCATTTATTCAAATTATTTAATAAAAAATTATTAATTTGGGTCCTTCAAATATATTTGGTTTCTAAGACTAATTTTGCTTCTAATCATGACCTTTTAAGTTTTAACCAATTTTCCTTTTGTTAATTGAATTTTTGATAAATTAATATTGGGCCAATAAAAAATCGTACTAAATAACACTGAAATAATTTGAAACACTTGTCAGGGGCGTGACTCGAGCGGGAAGAGGTTGTGAATTTGAATCCGAGGGACGAAGGATTCTAAGCGAACAGCTTCACGTAATCACAAGGACATACAGTGCCGTTTCCGTCACAGCCTCAGTTGGTATGGCAACACGGGTTAACAACTTCTTATAACAAATAGCCACGTCACCAGAAATCGCCCCCTAATTGAAGGAACTAACAAACATAGAAACGTAGAGGGAGCCTCCGTGGGGAACCAAAAGGCCAAAAGGCTCGCTGTGCTTGCGCGTCACTGTGGACTGTGATTTCCCTACTCTGCTAGGGTTTTAGAAATCGAAAGAAAAGGTCCAATCGGCGTTTCTCCGGTGAGTATGGCAGCAACTAGGGTTTTTGGAGCATATAGTAGAGCGTTGATGGCGGCGGCGGCGAAGGGGGCTGCGTCCGGTGTTAAGACTGCAGCGAAGACGGCCACACCGAAAGGTCGAGGCGGCAACGCTTTACAGAAGGTGATCCCTGTCTCTCCGCAGCTCGGAAAGTTTCTCGGTGCCTCTGAAGCTTCGCGCACCGATGCCGTCAAGAAAGTGTGGGATTACATCAAACTTCACAACCTTCAGGTCTTCATTCTCTCCTTTCTCTGTGGATCTATGCTGCATTATATTTATATTTAATAATTTTTGTCCCATTCCACTTGTACTATTTCAGAAATCAGTTGAACTATTTGGGAAAACATAAGGAAATATTTTGCATTAGGTTCCTTTATGAGCGCTTGAAGGGTTTCGAAGCCTTCCCTTTGACTATTTGGAAGGACACGGTCTCTGAACCTTCAGAAGAACTTTTGCGTTATTTCTCCGCTTTGTGAGAATCTTCTGTCATCAAGTTAAACATATGTTCTAGACTTCATTCTAACTTTTCCGTTCTAATAGGTTATGGAATCTGTGTATTTTTCCCTAATGGAGTCCGTTTATTTTTCTGTTTTGATTGCATTGCCTGTCTCGTGCACGATAAGCTGTACTGGCTGAATATTCTGTGTTTTGGCGTGAATTTGTTTGCTCTCGTGCCTGTAAAAAAATCTTACGCAGTAACATCGCTATGTATTTTTAGCAAATAACTGACTTTTGTTCCGTGAGATTAGTGGAGATAGCTGGTGGCGTATCGTCTTGAATGTATAAATTCGCTTGCTAATGTTAGAGCTACCCTGCTTATCAGTTGGTTCCTAAGTTCTCTCGTTCTCGTGCTCCTATGAAGTTAGCAGTGTTAAATATCACTTGAAATAACCAACACGTGATAGCTGGTACAAACTATAAACTTTATTCCGCTTAATGGCTATTACTCAGTCTTAATGTTTCTATCGTTAGCTTTGAAATGCATGGCGTGTGATTCTTTACTTATATTTTGGAGTTGAAATAGAGTTTGATATTGTTTGCTGATTCTTTGTTTACCCAATTGGTTTGGATCTGCTGCCTTTTTGCCTTCTCCGTAAATTTCCTTTCGTAGTGTATGTTGTTCGCTGTTTTACTTGCTCAGGGTGAGTGGAAGTTTTAATAGTTACAAGTCATGAAAGTAAAAATAGATTGACCTCTTCAGATTATCATCATTTTTTTTGGTCCTTCGCATCGTTTTATTCAATTGCTCGTTCTGTCATTTCTCTCTGCAGTGACATGACTTAGCTGTTCTTTTGCAGAATCCTACAAATAAGAAGGAAATTGTTTGCGACGAGAAGTTGAAGGCCCTTTTTCCTGGGAAAGATAGGATATCGTTCACAGATATTGCCAAATGCCTTTCTAACCATTTTGTGAAATCAGGCTGAAGCTCTTCTATGTAGGGCTCTTTGTGAAGATTTCTGTATTGACTAGCTCAGTTTTACTTTCTTGGTTTTCCCCGGTTCCTTTTGGGCTTTGATGCTTCAGAATATATGCTTTATGAACCCATTTTGATCAACCATTAAGGAAACCTGGAAATCTGTGATGTGCAAGGCTTGTTGATTTGAACTCTGTATTTGTGGGTTAATATATGTAATCTGTTTACAAAGGTACCTTTGCAAAACTTTCACGTTGGTAGGGTTACATATAACGCTGGGCTAATATGGGCAAAAAACAAAAAAAAGAAAACCTTGTCCGCCCTCCGTCCTATATATGAAAGGTTTGATCCTTTATAAATATAAGGTTGTCTTCTGTGGGGTAGAGTTGATTCAATTTGCAAGTTAGTATGGTAACACAACAAATGTGTTCCTTTTTTTTTTTTTTTTGACATCCTTAAAATTTTAATAGTGGTCTTGTGACTTGTGTCGATGTTAAAAAGATGAATATTGGTAATAATAAAATGCTTGGATTGTTTTTGATAAAGAAATTTATATAATTTTTTTTAATCTGATTTGAAATCTTTTATTTTATAATGAGGATTGAGGTAGGATGTAGTGTCTTTAATGTCTAACCTAGTATAACAGGACAAATGTAATGTTTTTATTAATTATATAAATAATTGTATATTTATTATTAAGGAATCAAAAAATTAAATTTTTAGTACTCATTGAATTTGGAATAGGTTAAGCATAAATTTTTAATGGATGATTTCCAATAGAAAAATTAAATTTCCAATAGGCCATTCTATTCTATTTTCCATATCAAATGAATGCCTTCCTGTGGAGAAAAATCCCGATAGCTTCGCAAAACTTTAAGAGTCACCATTTGTCTAAGTAACACAGTGAAATCTATTTCCATATCAGATGAATTTTTAATGGATGATTTCCAATGGAAAAATAAAATTTGCAGTAGGCCATTCTGTTCTATTTTCCATATCAAATGAATGATTTCCTGTGGAGACAAATCCTCATAGCTTCGTAAAACTTTAAAAGTCACCATTTGGCTAAGTAACACAGCTAAATCTAATTATCAAATAATGGATCTTTGTCATCAAATTATTTTAATCAACGAGTTTATCAGGTGGTAAGGCAGGAATTGTACGAGATTCTAAACACTCCTGATATTAAAAAAAAAAAAAGGTACATAACTTTTACATTCAATTGTGAGACTTTTTTCTCTCATTCGCTGAATCAACCTTCGACATGCGCTCGCTCTCGTTTCCTGGGGTACTAAAAACAGTTGCCAAGAATGTCAAGCGCCAGTGGCCACTCCTTACACTCTAAGATGTCTGCGATGATCAGAATCGGCGGACGAACAAGAATGTTCGTACCTGCCATTTTTGCTTTTTTAGCCTCATCTCCTGCTCTTTTGACTTCTGTGATACCCATCAGAACCAGAATCCTTAGGCTCAGATGAATAAGAATACCACCTTTTACTGTGTTTACTCCTATCACGCATGGGATGCTTTTGTTTGGCCTTTCTGCTCTGATCGTCCCTGTCTCTATCAGAATCTTCAGATGAACAAGAATGCTCGTCTCTGCTCTTGTAACATCCACGTCTGTGATGCTTCTGAGAGTCACAATGGGCCGTTAAAGTATGCTTACTCTTATTCCTGGAATGTCTTTGATGGTCAGAATCATCATTGGATGAATAAGAACGCTCGTTTCTGCTCTCGTGCTTTCCATGATAACCATCAGGACCGGAATCATCCTCAGACAAATAAGAATGCCTTTTTCTGCTCTTTTTACTCCTGTCATGTCCAGTATGACCAGACCTCACAGTTGAATAGGAATGCTTTCGTCTAGTCTTTCTACTTGGATCATCACTGTTACTGTCCGAATCTTCAGAAGAATAAGAGTGCTTACTTCTCCTCTTGTGACTTCCATAATACTCATTACGATCAGAATCCTCAGATGAAAAAGAATGCCTGTGTCTTCTATTCTTACTCCTCCTATGCCTAGGATAGTCCATATCTTTAGACAATTGCTTTTGTCTGATTTTTCTTCTTCGATCATCCCTATCACCATCAGAATCTTCTGACAGACAAGATTGCTTGTGTCTGCTATTTTCTGGATCCTTTTCAAAGCCTGGAGTGTCTGATGAACTTGACTTTAAATGATTTTGCTTCCTTTTGTTCACCTTAATTTTTTTCTCCATCAAACTCCTCTCTCCCTCTGAAGATGTTTCATTTTCTGAATGAACTGATCGCAGTTTTTTATGCTTGTTTTTTTTGGACTTCTTTTTGGGCTTCTTAGAGAAAGCAGTCAACAACTCAGGGATATCACCACCACCAAGAAAACCTGCAACTTAGATGGTGATTATTGCATGTAAATGATAACATAAATGCTCTCTAGAATAAATTATATATAAAAAAAACAAGTACCTCCATACTCATCAAATATGTCCTCAGCAACTATCTGCTGGTTGGGATCATCTGGATTGAATCCTCCACGAGGAGGACTGATTCCTGGTCTCTGCTTCAGCTCCCACTTTAAAGGCTGCAATGTTATCAAACACGAGAGAAGAGACACATTAGTACACCTTAAAGGGAGAATTGAAATACATCTCATCACATCTTAATTATCGCATGACAAAAGCAAGGATGCTGTAACATTGATCATCAACCAACCATACTGTTGGAGGAAAAGGTGGGGGTAAGAGTAAGCATTTTTGGATAATCATAATCTTATGGCAAGATATATGACCAAAAGTGGTTACCATTTGCTCTATCATCCTGACTTCAGATTTTCTTCTCTTGTTCTTTTAGTTTGTGTTTAGATGTAGAATAACGGAGCAGAGATGGGAAGGAAAGGTCGCCTTTAAGACTTCCCCTTATTTGGACAAGTTTCCTACAAAGAGGGGAGGAAACCCCCTGATGTTAATATTTTTGTCATCTAAGTTCCCAGGTGATGGGAGGAATTAAATCATTATTATTTTTCTTAACCTACACTTCTCTTTAGTCCCTCACTCCCAGACAAATCCAACATGCGAATAATTTTTCTTTTATGTTCTTAATTAAGTTTTCAGTCCAAACTATCGTAACTATGGATAGTCATGGTCAAGGTGTTAAATAATATGAACTGTGAATAGGATATATATTGACAAGTCAGAAAGGAGGAAAGACTTGAAGGAGAAACAAATGGTTCTAAGCAAATTTAGGACTGAAACCAAAGATATAAAAAAAAAAATGTAGTATCCGGATATGTTACAAGAAGACAGGAAGATGGGCCGGTCGAGTAAACATTATTTCACACATAATTCTAAGAAAATACAAACATAAGTTTGTGATTGAAGGAAGTTATTTCATTATAACATGAGCGATCAGTCATACGTTTTTAAAAGGACCACATGCCAATAAATTTTCAGTGAGCTGACAGAAATATGTTGCAGCAGGGGTGAAAAATGAATGAATCAGAGTATACTTATTCTTCAATCAAAGAATATTATGGTACACGAAATATTGATCAACAGGTGAGCACAAAAGAACAATATATGTCAAAACATCAAAGTAAGATGCTGACAAAATGTTGATTATACCAAACTCCACTGATGCTTAAGGGCATAAAAATGTTGCCATGTTTCTCAAACAAAACTTTAATGTTACAAGTAACAGACCTCACTAGGATCTGTGTGGGCAAGGATAGCATTCAAAGGATCATCCCTTTTCAATCTATTCTCTTCATTAGGCATTATAACGTCCTTCAATGGGCATTCACGATCACCACTTTGGTGACCATAATTTCCACACCTTAGACACTTCACATTGCGGACTTCAACACCAAAAGGTTTCACCCTACCAGCAACTCCTGTGTCCATCCTGAAAACATCCAATTACTAAAACTACGATTAAATATGGGTTCAAAACAATCTATGTCATATTCATAGAAATAAATAGAATAATGAAACTTGAAGCATGTTATATACACCGCCATGCTAGAATGAAGTTTGTTGTACGAGTATAATTGTAAGTGAACAACAATGCCTACACTAAAGTAGATTTCTATAATTAGTTTTCTACATATGCCTAACTACCCTTCCATGATGTAATGATTAAGGAGAATCCCCCTTCCCATTCAACCCATAAGTAGAAATACTACATGGGGTTTAATTACGCAATTACAGCACCTACAGTTGGTTTTAATTGCAAATTGAAAATACTCCTGCAGATCTAGTGCCTCCCATGAATTTAAACAAAAAACGGGTGTTATTTTCATCAAAGGTTGAGGCCTACCAATTGACTATATATGCATTTGGTAAATATTAGAACCACAAGATGTACTTCTTCAATCGATAGCATTCAACATAATAGCCAGCCAATTATCCAGGAACAGAGATTCAGCTCCTATGTAATCTGTTTTTAATAAACAACGGACAGCATCAACAAAAATTACTTTGTGCAGCTGTAAAATCAATGTGGTCAAAATAAGGATGGAATACTAATTTTCTACTGTCAATGTGAAACTCAGTTTCCATGTACAACAGCAATTCAGTTAAATTGATAGATAACCTATCATTAGCATTTCACTTGTTATTGACATAAAATGTTGGCTAAAATACTGTGGAATTTAAAGGCGCAGATAGAAGACGTTATTTGAGATTTTGCATGGATTGGTTTTCAAAAATAAAGAATGCCACTCACTGTTGAATTGCAATGGCAGTACTGTAACATACCGTGGAGCATTTTTTAGAATTTCAAACTCTTCTTCAGTTGGCAGAGGACGCCCAAACACATCTTTTGGCCTTGGTTTCTTCTTCTCTCCACTCAATAGGTCCTTACCACGTAAGGTTTCAGGTGGCCTGCAAGGTAAGCACCTTATCGGTTAATGAACTCCCAATCACCACAAAAACAGAAAGTTAGAGAGTCGACCCAAGGAGTGAACCAAGTAAACGGAAATCTAGCAACTAACAATAGATAAGAACGATACAAAGTGATAAGTACATAGAAGAGGATGTTCCATTTGTATTTGGGTCTTGGGGCGGCTGATTCAGCTCCTCTCTTTTCTTCTCATCAGCCATCTCCGCTGCCTTAGCACTTTCAGCATTGTACCCCGGAGGCCGAACATACATGAAGCTAACAGCTTGCATCATTTCCACCTATACGTTACAAATTACAATTAACTTTGAAAAAACAAAATGTATCCTCCTATGACAAATACAAGTGACCAACTATGAGTTAGCAACAAAGACGAACCTTTTCTTTCTCCTTCTTGGAGATGAGAGCAGTCTGGCGATAGAACTCCTGCTCCTGGGCATACTGTAGAGAGATAGAGAGAGCACAGAAATAGAGAAGGAAATAACTAAGAATCAGGAATAGACATGAAATTCATGTAGCATCAATAATCATCAATAATTTAAAAAAAAAAAAAACAGAATCACGTCCGGTTTATCCGACACTGATATAAGATACGATAGCATGCTTCCAATTATATAGAAATACACTATATTTCCGGGTGATGGAAAAAGCTAAGGGGGTCGATAAGGGACTTGCCTCACGGGAGACATCCTCGGCGCGGCGTTGCTTCTGGGCGTGGGTCTGCTCAGCGATCCACTTGCGGCGTTGATTAGGGTAGGAAAGAGGGTGCCATGGCTTCTGGTTGAGATAAGAATGGCTCCAAGCTGTGCCGGCCTTGGTCTTGTAGTCTACCTCTCCGCCCTTATCGGAGAACCTCTTGCTCAGCCTTATACCACCTCCTTCCTCACCGTCCATTCCCTTCTGAACGGATCTCTACCTACCTACCTACCTGCCCTGCGATTCGCAGCTTCGAACTCGTTCCCAAAACCTGATCTTTCCGTTCCAGCACGGTCCTCCCCGAGTCACCGAGGCGACAAAAAAGCCACCACGTCAGGTCAGCGAGCTAATCCCCGAGCCACCACGTCAGGTTGTAGGCTTCCAGCACGGTCGTTTATTTCCGTTCATTTTCTTATTTATTTAACGACGGGCCAACGGCCACCGAACTAATCCAAAATTTGTGGTTTGTTTTTCAGATTGGGCTGTTCATTAAAGGCAGCCCATTAGCCAATGTTACCTGTTTGCTCACTGATGGGCTCTCGATCTAACACAACATTGATGGACAAAAACCTTTCACAAAGAAACAGAGGACCAAAAAACGGGCATACGCCTCTCTTACATGCAAGCAATTTTTGCTGTGTAAGAAAGAAAACAGAAGTTTTTTCATTGGCCCAAAAACTCTCTCCAATCTCCATGTTTTTTAAAATACAAGGCTATGGATAAACTGTATAAAAAACAAGCAAATCAGATCATATCAGAAATTGTTAGATTTTTGCATCCTAAAAGGGATAATTATATATTACAATATCAAAGTTGTCTCTAGATGGTTGGTGAACAAGAAGATTTGCATGTATATTCACTTCTTAAAAAAAAAGGTTAAAAGTGATTGTCTAATTTCTCAACAAAATATCTAATTTTGTTGATGATCTCATAGAGGGGGTGATTTTGGCATAAATTGTGTTGGATAAGCAATAAAGCTTCTAAGGAACAAGGGTAAATTGAATTTTGATGAGTTTAGCATTCTAGTAAAATTTGATTCCCTTCAAGATGCTTAGGAGCTCAGCAATTGTGCTTAGATGATATATAAAATATTTGGAGAAACTTTAATCCAATTCCCTTGATCGTAATGTATGAAGCCTCCACAAGCAGCAACCCTATTAGCTAAACTGTCAATGTAGAACCTAACCTAACTTGCTTATGGGTAGGAGTGAGTAAAATCGAATTGAATTTTGTCTATTTAATTTAGTCTATTTAATTTTTTAATTTGATTTAATTTTTTTAATATTTCGGTTGATCGGTTCGATTTGGTTAGTGAAATTTAAAATCGAATAGATCGAACTAACAGAGTTACATATAATTTATTAATTTATAAATTATATTTAATTTATAAATTATTTTATTTTATATTTAAATAAAGAATAAAAATAATAATATGACTTAAAAACCTTAGGTGTTTTGGTCACTCTCATCTCAAGCTCACTCTTAGAGTCTTGGTGTTAGCCTCACAAGTCACAGCCGCAGCTTACAGGTCTCCCGTTCGTTCTGTCTCACCGTCTTAGCTCTCATCTCAAATTCTCATTCGCCGCTCACTCTCTCTCATCACTCACCCCTAATCCATCGTCTCTCTCGCATCTCAGCTAGCATCTCCTATCTTCAGCATTCTCAGTCTCGCATATCTGTAATCTCACATCTCCAGCTTACATCTCAGTCTCTCATTTCTGTAATCTCCAGCTTGCATCTTAATCTCTAGCATTCTATCACTTTCTCATCTCTATTCTTGCCTTCTCAATCCAGCTCGAGTTCGTGTGCTCTCATCTCGGTCTAACTCGCGTTCATCTACTCTCGATCTCCAGCTCTCTGCCAGTCTCACTGTCTCTGTTCATCGATGTGCTCACATTCTTTATTCTCTTATCTAAATCTCACACCATTGTGAGGTTCATCTTTTGTCTTTATTCTCTTTTTCATCTTCCATCTCTATCTTATCTAAATCACCCACAAGCTAAAGCTATATGTGTTCTCTGCTCTGTCTCTACTTTTTTTTTGCTCACTATTTGACTGCTTTTTCATTCTCACAAATGTCTTCTTAAGCTGAAGCTATGACTACAAACCAAACTGAAGCTAATAAAGAAAACAAAGTCCCAGTAGTATCGAGTGGAACTAAAGTAGTGATTTCCTTGCAAAGGTTGAAGAGGAAAGCCATAAGGCCAAGATCTGAGGTCTGGGATCATTTCACTAGATATGTATATACATAGGGAGGCCAAAGGTAAGTACAACTACTATGAAAAAGAATTTTTTAATGATCCTAAAAAAAATGGTACCACTGCACTAAAGAACTTTATGATAATATGCAAGAAATGACCTGAAACAGAAAAGCCTATGCAAACACATTTAAATTTTGGTATAGAAGATGATGCTATTGTTCTTGCTACTTGAAAATTTGATCAAGATGCTATTAGGAAAAGTTTGGCTGCTATGATTGTAACTGATAAACTACCATTTAAATTTATTGAGGGGATAGGATTTAAGAGGTTTATGTCTTATGCTTAACCAAAATTTAAGATTCCTTCTAGATGGACTGTTGCTCGTGACTGTTTTCAACTTTACAGTGATGAAAAAATCAAATTCAAGGATTATTTGATTAATAGTAGACAAATGATTTGCCTTACTACTGACAGTTGGACTTCAATTCAAAGAATTAACTACATGTGTATTACAGCCTATTTCATTGATGCTAATTGGAATTTGACTAAAAAGGTTTTAAATTTTGTTCCAATATCTAGTTATAAGGGGAGGGATATTGGAATGGAAATAGAGAAATGTTTGCTTGAATAGGGGATTGAAAGAGTGTTTACTATCATTATGGATAATGCCTCTACTAATGATATTGTTGTGTCTTACTTGAGAGAAAAAATTAATAATTAGGGCCATTCTGTTATGAGCTGTTGGTTTTTATATATGAAATGTGTTGCTCACATTATTTCTTTGATTGTTGTTGATGGGTTGAAAGAAATAGAAACTTCTATAAAGAAAGTAAGGGGGCTGTACATTATGTGAGACAATCTCCACTTAAGATAAAAAAAAATCAAAGAGAGTTGTGAAGATGAGAAAATTCCAAGTAAGCAATTATTATCTCTAGATATCTCTACTAGGTGAAACTCCACCTATTTGATGTTGGAGATAGCTTAAAAGTTTGAGGCTGCCTTTAAAAGGTTTGAGAATAAGGACCCTTATTTTAGAATTGATCTTGAAAGTGGGGAGAGAGTGCCTAATGTTGAAGATTGGACAAATATAAGAAAGATGACAATGTTTCTAAGTCATTTTTATGAGTTGACTTTATGTGTTTCTAGTTCTTCATTTATCACATCTAATAAATTTTTTCATGAGATTTATATGTTATTCCACCTTTTAGATGAGTGGAGAAAATGTGATGATTTGGAGTTTTCTTCAATGGCTTATAAAATGAAAAAAAATTGATAAGTATAGGGAGATCCTTTTAAAATCAACAAATTGATGTTTATGGTTACTATTCTTGATTCTCGGTATAAGCTTGAGTGGGGTGTAATATTCACTTTGTAAGATGTATTCTAGTGAGGTTGGATGGCAAGTTAGAGGGTAATTGAATGATTTGCTCATTTCTTTCTATAATGAATACAAAGAGTGTGTCTCTCCCTCAAAGCAAGTTGAAAAGGAGTAATTAGTTAATTGCTACCAATCTGATAAAGATGATGACCTAGCTGTGAAAGTTAAAAAAATTATTGAACATGAAAAGAAAAAAATCATGACTAAAAGGCTTGGTGGGAGAACTAGTAGAACAGGGGTTGACAAGTATTTAGTTGAAGAAATTGAGATGGATAAGGAAGATTTTAATATTTTAAGTTGCTAGAAGTTGAATGGGCTTAGATTTCCCATTCTGTCTCCATTGGCAAGGGATGTTTTGGCTGTCCCAATTTTCATTGTTAGTTTTGAGTCCACTTTCAGCATTGAAGGATGCATTCTAGATTCATTTAGGACCTCTTTAACTTTTAAAGTTATGCAATCTCTTGTTTGTGCTTAAGATTGGCTTCACCACTCACTTCTGGTTGTAGTAGAAGAGAAGATAAATGATGCACAAAAGATTGAGAAAGGTAATTTATTATGTGTTATATTGTTTTAAATTTAATATTGAGTTATTAGTTAAATGATATTAATATTAAATACTTTATTTATGTTTAGATCGTCAAAAAATTTCTATAGAATCAAATGTAGATGTACTGTGATTGTGAGCCTTTGTTCTTAATGACTTGAGGTAATTATTTTATATGTTAGCTTTTTGCTATAAGTTTGATACTAAATTCATCAATAATTCTTGGCTTCTTATATGATTTTTACTTGTGTAATGTAGGTTGCAAGATAATAGTATGGTGCTCCATTTATGAAGGCTACATGTTTTATTTTGTTTTACTAATCTGGATATTTGATTATTGTAATGGTTTCTATGGATAATAGCATTATGGCTGTTTAAACTGTAAAGGCTAACTGGATTATGACACTATGGTGTTGCTGTTTAATTTTAATATTGTCACTAACTTAGTTCTGATGAATCCATTACTCTTGAGGTAAGAATCTCTCCTAATTGTTTCCTTTCTATTGGTTTTGTAATCTTTATATTTCCACGTAAGTTAGAATATGGCTCGTTGTAATTTTGTAATCTTTGCAAGTATTTCGCTGGTTGTCTTAATATTTGGAAAATAAGTATCCCTACCCTCATGAGTATTCAATTTTATATAAATACTAAATGCAATGATAGCTGATGATTTACTGAGTTGTAATTTTAATTCTTTATTTAGCTAGTAAATGTGTTACTGCATTAATAGAAAATATGCATAGTTTACTACTTTAACAGCAAACATGGCTATGACAGTGTGCTAGATTATGGGGCTTTGACTGGATTATAGCACCATTATTTGATGATCTAGGGCTATTTATTTATGGTTGTTTATTTGATCATCTATACCTTTGTAATCTTTGGGCTTTATATCATATAGGTGTAATTAAAATGGGCTCTTATTGAAAAATATGAATAAGAAAAAAAAAGCCTAATTTTGCAATCTTGTTGTTTTAATATTTTTAAAAAATAGGCCCAATTTCAAGTAGCCCAATATAAAATCAAAAAACTAAATCAACCAACCGGATTGAATTGTTAAATTTTAGTTTGATCTTTATTCGGTTTGATTGGTTTGTTCAGTTCGATTCATTTTACATTTTTAGTATGGTTCAGTTGATCGATTTTGCATATTTTGGCATCAAATTGAACTGAACTGATCGATGCTCACCCTTACTTATGGGGGGTTCCATTTAGTTTTAAATCTTTCACTTTACTTACTTAGGAGGTTGGTTGTAGAC